GAAGTTTGAGAACCCCTGATCTAAATTAAACCAGCAAAGGATAAATTGGCTAGTTCCAGCTATGGAGTTTCTATTTCAGCTGAAGGAGGACACATGACCCGGGCAGACACGCTAACAGGGCTTGAGGTAGAGCACTACAAATAGCACTGCCGACATTTCAGCTCAGCCAAAAGTTCAGGCTCTCAAGTCCACCCAACCTCCTAGGCTTGAAAAAGCCTGAGCTAGAACATCCACATTGCTACTTTGTGTGTACTAGCTCAAGCCTGTCTAAACGGGCTGGAAGACTCGCTCCCAGATGCATTGTAGACATAGACATACCTTTATAGACCAGCGTGACTACAGTACGGCTTAACTACTCGTGTATGAACTTCTCAAAATCAGAAATTGTTAAAACGTGCTACAAAATACAATTAAAAAGTGTTAGCACAAGTTTATATAAATGCATTTAAGGTAGTTTTCTATACAAGCTGCCATGAATGAAGAAAGGATCAAATGATGGGAGCCTTCACAGCTTTGTAAATAAACCAGAGACTTGAGTCAGCTAGTGCAAAGGAAGAGGCTGCATTGGTTTGGATAAGGTTTTAATTACCGATTAGCAAACCAGGAGGTAGGTTTTGCCTCAGTTGAGGCTCAGAAGCCGTTTTAGCAGACATCTGAAAACTGAACAAAAGTACGCCAAGCAGAAGTCTTGCAATGAGTCTTCTTTAGTGCCTAGTTTTCAAGAGTTTACTGAAATATCCCAATTATCAAAGTATTCATGTTCAAGAAAAGCCACTACTTGATTTTCAAAGCTTGTTTTGTGATGCTTCAAAGGGACAGTTACAGTGTTAACTGGTACTGGTTTTAAAGCCTTCTCCTGGAAGCCACAGGTAAAATATCAAATGGTAGTTTGTCTTACCTTAAGGTAAGATTTCCCCCCCTCTGCACTCTCAAGAACTTTTGCCTCCTCCCCATCTTTTATTCCTCCCCTATCATTAAGTCTATATTAAAGAGCATCTTATATGGTCTTCAATATAAACGGAAAGGGTAGGTTGCAGTTTAAAGAATAGTTCAAAGAGTCTCATGTATGGAAAGAACCAACCCCAGATGTATTGGTGCTCTCAGTAGAGAGCAGTTTGGTTCCTCCCATGCCCACCAAAATGGGTCCCTCATCTCTTTCCCTTCTTCAAGTGGCTCATCATTCTCTTCTTCTACCCTTTCCTTCTATAAGGCAGAAAACTTTTCTTCTTGCTGGCCAGCCTCCCACTCCTGATGCTAGTGTTTGGGATGGTCACCTGGAACACATTGTACACAGCTTCTTGGGAATGGCAGAATTACAGCTATTGTCTGAAACGATATGCCAAGGCAGCTGCCGATCCAGAATACATCTACCCCACACCCCCTATTTAGGGAAAAAAAGCCAAATGAATTGGCAACATCTGAGAGGACAAGTTAATTTTTGGCCTGTTTGAGTCAGTTGTCGTTTGGTACCTTACTTTCCCATCCTGATTGGTGGAAAGGAAGTACGCAAAGGTGAGCAATATTTCAATATGCCAATTTGTGCAAAGTCATTAACAAAAATGGATTTTTGAATCCCAGAAGAGGTTTTAAAACAGGTTACAAAGTACTAGTGAACAGACATTAGTGCACATCTTTGCCAACCCAGTATACTTTGAAGTGAGAAGAGATAATATGCAATCTATACTCAGATTTACAATTTACAAGAACGCAAAATATTATTCCCTAAGTATCCCACACTATTTAAAGTTATCCACGCACCCTGCACCCCCCGATCTCCACCTGTCACTTACCTTACATTTTTAATTGTATTGCATGGCTAGGAAGAGGTAAGAATACATTTTATCAAGAAATACAGATTACCACAACCATATGATCATAGAACTGGAAGGGATCTCGAGAGGTCATCTAGTCCAGTCCCCTAGCACTCAAGGCAGGACTAAGTATTATCTAGACCAGAGGTGGGCAAACTACCGCCCAGGGGCCGTATCCGGCCCTTCAGATGTTTTAATCCGGCCCTCGAGCTCCCGTCACGAAGTAGAGTCTGGGGCTTGCCCCGCTCCGGTGCTCCAGCCGGGGAGCGGGGTTGGTGGCTTGTCCCACTCCGCGCAGCTCCCAGAAGCAGCGGCATGTCCCCTTTCCGTCTCTTATTTGGAGGCGCGGCCAGGTGGCTCTGCACACAGCCCCACCCGCAGACGCCACCCCTGCAGCTCCCATTGGCCGGGAACCACGGCCAATGGGAGCTGCGGGGGGAGGGGGCTGCAGATAGGGCAGCGCGTAGAGCCGCCTGGCTGCGCCTCTACATAGGAAATGGAGGGGGGACATGCCATTGTTTCTGGGAGCTGCTTGAGGTAAGTGCCGCCCGGAGACTGCACCTCTGACCCCCTCCTGTGCCCCAACTCCCTGCCCCAGCCCTGATCCCCCTCCAAACCCCTCGGTCCCAGCCCGGAGCAACCTCCTGCACCCCTAACCCCTCGTCTGCACCCCCAGCCGGAGACCCCCCCACACACACCCCAACCCGGGAGCCCCTTCCCATACCCTGAACTTATTTCTGGCCCAACCCCAGAGCCCACCCCCCCAGCCGGAGCCCTCACCCCCTCCCGCATCCCAACTCCCCGTTTCAAGAGCATTCATGGCCCCCCATACAATTTCCATACCCAGATGTGGCCCTCGGGCCAAAACGTTTGCCCACCCCGATCTAGATCATCCCTAACAGGTGTTTGTACAACCTGCTCTTAAAAATCCCCAATGATGGAGATTCCACAACCTCCCTAGACATTTTAATCCCAGTGCCTAACCACTCTGACACTTAGGAAGTTTTTCCTAATGTTCAACCTAAACCGCCCTTGCTGCAATTTAACCCCATGGCTTCTTGTCCTATCCTCAGCGGTTAAGAACAATATTTTTTCTTCCTCCTCCTTGTAACAACCTTTTATGTACTTGAAAACGATTCTGTCCCCTCTCCGTCTTTTTTTCCAGACTAAACACCATCTATACAAACAGATGCAGTGTTTGACGGAAATGAACTCTCCTGAACGGAAGAATTCAGTGAGGATCATCTGCCTTTGTGGAGGTGGGGGGTTCGTTCCGTATTCATGGACAGTCACTGTTTTATAGATGGCTGTTACCCAACCAATACTAATTAGTCCAGAGCATCCTGCAGCAGTAGCTTCTCCCTTTGATTGCCAACACCGAGTGGCCATGAAGCTGAACAATGCCAGATGGCCATTTGATTGAATGCCCTTAAAATGGATTGTATCCTTAAGCATGACACAGGGTCAATATTTAGTGTGTGCGTTTGAGGTCAGTCTGGATGATCACAGCAGGTCCCTTCTGGTTTTGTAGTCTGTAACCGATGATATTTCTCACGTGCACTGAGAAATTTAGTAAGTGTGTTTGTAAATCTAAAAGGCAGAGAGACATGGTCCTTGAACTAAAGAGCTTCCAGTCTAAATAAGCACAGGTAAGAGAATGACCGAGATAGGGAGTGGAAGTTCATTAACTTTAAGACTTATTCATTACTTTATTTTTACATTAAAAAGTTACAATGTAACAAGGGTTCGAAAAGCCAAATCAACTTGATTTCACACACACGCACAAAGTCACAGGTTTCAACTGCTTTAAATGATATTTTCTGATTTTCATCAGTATATTTTATTAAACAATATACATACTAAAAGCCTCATGACAAAGCCAGATACATTTTTCTCCAATATTTATGGGGGATGTTGAACTGAATATTCGAAGATTCTTGTCCAACTTCCAACCTTCCCCCTCATTTACATGATACATGTATTTTTGTTCATCTGTCTGTGGCTTTATTGGATGTGTTCATCTGGCAATTCTCCATATTACATACCTACTCCCTAAGCACTGTATACATCTTCCGAAGTATTGCACAGTTTTGTTCATTGGACCATGGTATATTGAATGGATCCCTTAGTAAACCGACACATACTAGGACATAAATGTGATGAAGAATCAGTATGATTAAGAATTAAGATTCCACAAAGAGTTGCACAGAAATGGAGAAACAAGTCACTAAGAAAAGAAAGTATATTTTCAGTCTGTGAATGTAAACTTACTAATGGGAGATCCTTGAGCATATCATACTGCTTGAGGTGGGATAAACTTGTTGATGCTAATGGTAAAGCAAAAACAAAAACTGGACAAGTTTAAGGCAAGTCCCAGAACAGGGAGCTGTTTACTTTCCAGGCACAGTTCCAAGCTATGCATCAAGGCTCCTGTTTTATCCTTTGTGCAGTGGATAATTCAAAGACAACAAAGTAATGATAAATACAAAAATTCTTCTATCTGTAGTGTTTAAGATAATCCATTTTCAGCTGTATTTCATCACTTGCAAATTGTCTCATTACTTAGAGATCTAGGAACACATCTTAGAACTACTGTTATTTGTCAGACGCACAAAAAGTTACATTTCTACACTGTTCATTTCTTTTGTTTTCAAGCAGTTTTGATTGGAAAATGGTGAAATGGAAATTTCCCCCCTTTATATACTCTATACACATTTTCCATTTTACACTCAGATTTCTTGTACTTGCACAAAGGAGACTGGGATTACATTCCCTAACTCTGAAGGAAGTCTCCCTCCTTTCAGGGATGGCTCTATTTAAGTGACTGGTGAACTATTTACTAGTTTCTGAAGGTGTGTAAAATCTACACACACACACACAAAAAAGGGGGGGCCTCAGGACCTTACAATAATGATTGTTCTTTGGATCAAAGTTATACCAATCTGCAATACATTCATTTTTAATCCTACAGGAGGATCTAGTCACTGGTCCCTCAGATACCCACACACGAGTTCCTTTAAAGTCAATGCACTGAGAATTGAAGACAAGTATCGCAGGGCAGAATTGACCCATAGCTAAAGTTAAAAATATTTGATTACTGCACATTTAGAATTTACCTAAATGCCATTTAAGATTAATGCTGCCAAATACAAGACATGCTATTGTGAATCACGGAAGACATCTGGCAGGGCTGGAGGAGTGCATCTGACATGTTTATGTTACCACGCGCACAAATCTCAAATTACTAGTATGCAAGGACTGCATGTCTGAAGTGGGACGTAACAATATTATTTTGACTATCAGGACAAATGAAAATATAAATAAAATTAAAGGACTGACTAAGTCATTATTCCCTGAAAACTAATGGATTTAGAAAGCTTGATGCCATTTAAAATGGGCTTCCAACTTAACTACTTGATCTCATGATTGAAAACTGCACCTCGGCTCATAATTTTATAAAACACACAGGTAATTCCCAAAACATTTATCAAATAAACAGTTCAACAAAAATGCAAAATTAATCCCATTAAACAATAAGTTACAGTAGTATGACGACATTTTGGCTTCTTTAGTGTGGTTACACACCTTTCTTTTGTTATCCTGCTGAAAGATGGCTACAGCATCCAGTTTACGTTTCTGAAAGTTAATGAGATGTCTGTGACTATAAAACTCTGCTTGCTACAAGCAAATGTCTTGTTTGTTTCAGATGGTCACAGATTATATGTAGACAGCCATTTCTGGCCCCAAATAAATATTTATATAGTATTCTTGCAAGTTCAAGTATGATTAGGCAGGCTCACACAGAAAACTCAGGTCCCCCTTTCTTTGCTCTCAGCAAAAGTTGCCTGATTCGAAATCCTGCAAAAGGATTGATCCACAGGAGTGAAGGTTGGCCCCCAAAGACAGATTTCATCCCTTCCCAACGTAGTCTCCTCTCCCATGTTGGCTTTTCACTTTTAAGCCTCTCAATCTCCTGCACATAAATTAAAACAAACAGTTATACACTTAACAGCCAGCAGGGTGGATTGATTTAAATCAAGACACAGGAAACCCAGATTTAAATCATCAATTTTAATAGTGTTTTGCATCTATACTTTATTTTCCTAAAGAAAGGTTAATTCTCATTAGTACCACTCAGACTACGAAGATCTTCAATTATGTATGAATTATGTATACACGCAGACTAACCTGATACATGCACACCTCTGGTCACTATAGAACATTAAAAAATCTTAAGCAAATTGAATGGCAACATGGAATATCTGGTTAAACAAAGTTCTGGATTAAAAGGGAGCATCATTACTGTACTAATATCAGATTCAGAGTATGAACAACTCAAATTCCGGCAGTCGAAACGTTACATCTGGATGTCTAGTAACAGTACAGTGCACTTCTGTATTAAGGGGTACAAGTGAAGATGCTGTTAGCCAAGACCTGCAAGGACTAAGTGTCTTGCATGACTCTCCAGCAAACCTCTAAAGCTGAATGGAAGACCAGCACCATGATCTGAAGAAACAACTCCATCCAACCCTCCCCACTATGGAATGGCCAGAATTGGGGGATCCCACAAGACTTTTTCCTGTCCCCCTTCAAAGAGAGAAGTGGGGTCTAAACTAGAAATAGTGACAAACCCTGTGCAGCAATGCAATTAGGCACCAAACTGGTGTGCGTGAAACAAATTAGTGCTATTTTTTTCTAAGGGTATGTCTATACTTACCTCCGGGTCCGGCGGTAAGCAATCGATCTTCTGGGATCGATTTATCGCGTCTTGTCTAGACGCGATAAATCGATCCCGGAAGTGCTCGCCGTCGACGCCGGTACTCCTGCTCCGCGAGAGGAGTACGTGGAGTCGACGGGGGAGCCTGCCTGCCGCATCTGGACCCGCGGTAAGTTCGAACTAAGGTACTTCGACTTCAGCTACGTTATTCATGTAGCTGAAGTTGCGTATGTTAGTTCGAAGTGGGGGGGTTAGTGTGGACCAGGCCTAAGAAAGAAATCAGAATGATTCATTGAACTGTGGGGGAATGCGGCACAAAGTAAGTATTTAAAGCTTGCTGAATGCATTGCATATTTAGTAAATATGTTTCTGCAACAGTATTCCATGAGAAGCGAAACACTAAGCACCACAAAAAGCTAAAATGAACACTAGCGGCACCGCATGCTAGGGAGCTGTACTAATAAGAAGCTGTTAACTACAATTATTGAATCTATCAAAAATGAAATAAAACGGCCATTGAGAATCTCAACTCAAATCAGATCATTTACAGTCCTCACTTCCCACTAAGGCCAGCGGAACATTTACCATTTGTTTTCCCTTTTGCAAAGCAGCATCAGCTGAGAAAATTCAGAATGCCATTGTGAACTCAACTCCCTTACATCTTCAGTCAATGACTCACAGTGGATGACATTCTTCCAATGTTTACACTGGGATTTGGGGAGGAAAATGAATTAACACCAAGTATCGGCCAGTACATTATTTCAGTGCAGTAAAAAAGGAAAAAAAAAAAAAAAAAGCACATTGCTAATCCCAGATTAGGCACATCATGTACACTTTTGGTGACAATCTAAGAATTATGAAAATCCCACCCATAAGTGTCGAAGTAATTTAGCAGCGCAAGCCCCACTGAAAGACAATGCAACTTGTTCTAAAAGCCTTTGAAAGTCTCACCCTACCGCATCATGTAGGGGAAGTCAGTACTAAGGGTACGACTACACTACCCGCTGGATCGGCGGGTAGCGATCCATCTATCGGGGATCGATTTATCGCGTGTAATGTAGATGCGATAAATCAATCCCCAATCACTCTCCCGTCAACTGCTGAACTCCAGCTTGGCGAGAGGCGGAAGCAAAGTCGATGGGGGAGCAGCAGTCGTCAATCCTGCGCCGCGAGGACGCGAAGTAAGTGATTCTAAGCCGATCTAAGATACGTCGACTTCAGCTACGCTATTCTCATAGCTGAAGTTGCGTATCTTAGATCGATCTCCCGCCCCTAGTGTAGACCAGGCCTTAAGGAGAACACATTTGTTACACATCTGCTCTTTAGCAAAAACAAATAATTATTTCTGATTCTCCCAGTAGCAGGGAAAATAATAGATATGTGTTTATGATTTGAATATTTTCACCATCATAAAAGCCCCTCTATCGTAGGCCAATAAAGCTATATCTAGTCAAGTCTTATATTAGAATTATTACACCAAGCAAGGGAAGTAGGTTTTACCGTTTCATCATTGCATATTGAGTGGATTTGGGTGCCAAACATAACAGCAGTGAAAGTGAGAAACAGAAAACCCTCAAGGCACAAAAAGACCATCAGGATCACAGTTACAGGCGGGGAGAAGTCACTGCATTCTGTGAAAAGAATAAACTTAATTATGAAAAAAATCACACTAAGAACCCATGCAAATAGCAACTCCAGAGAAGTGTGCCTCCTCTTCAACACAAAGTGATAAAATATGTTTGTATTTATTTTACAGTGGCTAAATCAGCTCAACCCCAGATTTTGCAAATCTTTTACTTTCCATCCCATAGGCTGTACAGTTCTAGACAACTCAGTTTATTAGACAAGTAAATGCTAATTCGAAAGTGACTGCAGTCCTGCCTGGACAGGTTCCCCTAAAGATGAGCCGTGCACATTCCAAACTGCATTATAATATGCAAAAAATGAAATAAAGAGATATGTGTATGAAAGACTGAAGTAAGGCATTTTATGTTTGAATACCCTCACCCAGGACTCAATGAACTAAGCCCCTTACTTGGTCCTAGGACTTCCCCCAGTATTAAGACCCTTATGAAATGCTGCCCCACCTATGCTCTAGAGCCCATCCCTAGTTGTTATTATTCAAGGTGACTCTTGAGCCCCTCATCCACATGCCTTCCCTGGTATTTACAGCAATGATCCTCCATCCCCTTGCATTAAGGACCCTGATATTCCTTCAGCCATATAACTCTCCCCATGATCTTGACAGCCCAGTGAGCTCTGGTGCACCAAAACATTGCCTTGAAATACTAATAAGCACAAGAAAGCATGGAGGAATTAGCTAATTTCAACTATGCACCACACAAGAAAATAAGATGGCAAGAGAATATTCATGGCACTTTGTATTAAACAGTTGAAACACTTGCAAACATTATGATTTTTTTATTTATAAACACTGCTTGGTTATGGTGGTAGAAGTAAACGCATGCTTACCAGTCCACTGTCCTCGGACACAAGAGAAAAACTGAAACCCACACAGAATGAGTGCATGAGCTGAAATTAGGGCTATATACATCTGGAAATAAATAGAAATTTGCTTAGTCTTGATCATTTTGTCAGTCAGTAATGCAGACATTCCTTGCAGCCAATTTTTATCGTTAGGAAATTACATGCTTGGGTGCAGTATCATTTATTAATTGGATAAAATGGAGTAAAACCAACTCCAGCAAAGTTCAAATAAAAAAATCTCAGCAAGTACAACAATGTACACTAATTTATTACTCTTTGGATCACATTACAATTACAAATGTTATAAAGTGGAAAAAAAGGGTTACTAGCCTTTCTGTAACTGTTGTTCTTTGAGATGTGTTGCTCACGTCCATTCCATATTAGGTATGTATGCATGCCAAGTCTGCCACTGGTGGAGATTTCCTCCTCAGTGGTATCAGTCAGGCTGGCTCTAGCGCTCTCTGGAGCAGTGCACATATGCACCAGTATAAGGCGCGCCACCGGTCCCACATCATCTCACTTCTTTCTTATTGGCCAACTCCAACAGAGGAATAGGAAGGTGGGTCGTGGAATGGACATGAGAGATACATCTCAAAGAACAGTTACAGAAAGGACAGTAACCATTTTTTCTTCTTTGAGTGCTTGCTCATGTCCATTCCATGTTAGGTGACTCACAAGCAGTACCTCAAGAAGCGGGCTCAGAGTTCAAGGACATGCTGACTGCAACACTGCTCTTCCAAACCTGGAGTCATCTCAAGCCTTTTGGGTGATGGCATAGTGGGATGCAAAGGCATGAACCAATGACCAAGTTGCAGCCCTTCAGAGGTCTTGGATTGGAACCTGCAGGAAGAATGCCTCTGAAGAGGACTGAGCTCTCGTGGAGTGAGTGATTAGGGTCGCCGGAGATGGGACATTCGCCTGTTCGTAGCATGCCTGAATACAGGAGGTTATCCAGGATGAGATCCTCTGAGCTGACACTGGAAGTCCTTTCATCCTTTCTGCTACTGCTACAAAGAGTTGTATGGATTTGTGAAAGAATTTAGTCCACTTGCTATAGAAGGTGAGGGCACGCTTAACATCCAATGAGAGAAGCTGCCACTCTTCTGAATTCTGGTGAGGCTTTGGGGAAAAGACTGGCAGAAAAAATGGCCTGGTTGCTATGGGATTGTGAAACCGCCTTTGGCAAGAAGGCCAGGTGGGGGCACAGTTGGACTCTGCCCTTGAAGAACATGGTGTATAGAGGCTCTGACGCAAGGGCCTTGATTTCAGAGACCCTTCTGGCTGAGGTGATCACTACCAGGAAGGAAACCTTACAGGAAAGAAGTAGCAGAGGGCACGATGTTAGCGTCTCAAAGGGAGGACCCATGAGTCTCAAAAGGACCAAGTTTAAGACCCACAGGGGAATCAGCTAGTGAACCTGTGGGTACAATCCCTTAAGAAAGCAGTGTCATCTCGTGAGAGAACACTGATCTTCCGCCCACCGGTGGGTGGAAGGCCAAAATTGCTCCTAGATGTGGGAGCCAGACCTTGTTGCTTTAGATGGAGCAAGTAGTACAGGGTGGACGCAAGGGAAGACTGAGTTGGAGAGACACCTCGATGGGATGACCATATCAAGAACCGCTTCCATTTGGCGAAGTAGGTAGCCCTAGTGGATGGCTTCCTACTGCCCAGCAGACCTGTTGAACTTATTCCGAACAGGCCTGCTCCTCTCGGTTTAGCCATGCAACTTCCATGCAGTTAGATGAAGGGAGCTGAGGTTCAGGCGGAGTAACCAACCGTGGTCTTATGAGATCAGGTGTGGGAGGAGCGGGAGCAGCGTGCCAAGCCAGTGCTGGCACGGTCACACCGGGGCTATAAGAATAACTCTTGCCTCGTCAAGCTTGATCTTTAGGAGGACCTTGTGAACCAGAGGAACTGGAAAAAATATGCAGAATAGTAGCTCTGTCCATGGAAGCAGGAAAACAACGGAGAGGGAGCCCGGACTGTGCCCACGCAACAAGCAAACTGTTGGCATTTTCTATTCTGCTTGGTTGCGAACAGGTCTACCTGGGGAGGTCCCCCTCTCTTTGGAAGATGAACCTGGTGACCTCTGGGTAAAGGGACCATTTGTGGTGAAAGAAGAAGGATCTGCTGAGGTGATCCACCAGGGTGTTCTACAGGCTCCCGGAAGATGTGAAGCCTTGAGGTGCGTGGAGTACTTTACGCAGAATTCCCATAGACAGACGGCCTTCTGACACAATGCAGAGGATCGGGCTCCTCCGTTTGTTGATGTAGAACACAGCCATGGTGTTGTCCATCAGTATCTGCACTACCTTTCCTGGGATCTGTGGGAGGAACACTAGGTGGACTCCCCAACCTAGGTTGGATGCATCCAAGACTAGAGGTGGAGGGCAGAGAAGAAGAGGTTTGCCACAGGGCCCTGACCATACCCATTACAGCCTCATTAATGGACAGGGCAACCTCAGAAGGAGCTGCTGCAGCCAGAATGTCAACAAGGATGTGGGATGGTTCTTTGAGTTCCTCAATCTCTAGCCCCAGGATAGCTGCTATCTGCTTTAGAAGCTCCTGATGAGTCCTGAAGTCAGCTTGTGGAAGCAAGATATTCAGCCCTGAGACGGCCTCATCTGAGGAGGAGCAGGAGGAAGAGGCTTGTACCAGAGGGAGGAGGTTTTTTTCTCTTCCTCAGCCTCAACAACATCCATGGGGACTACATCCTGAATATGGGTATTGGGGTTGGTACCGGAATTGGGGTTCGATGCCGAGCAGGATGGAGCGGGACCCCACCTCTCAGAAGCAACTGAGTAAGATCAGCGGGAAGGTGGACCCAGTACTGGGGGAAACCCTCAAGGATTCCAGTATGACCATTGCATAGGCCACTGTTCACTTGGCCATGCACCGGTGGGAGGACCCATACCAAGATCGGGTGGTACACAGGATGGGTGCCGGTGTGGTGGCCCTTAGGCTGGACGTATGGTTCTACCTCAGAGACAGATGAAGAACCCTCCTGAAGTGACCATGGCGGAGCGGTACCCTCTCAGCCTCCATTCGATGCCGAGGGTCCAGAGACTTGTGGTGGACAGGAGAGTCTCCCAAACTCTTCAGACAATTGGAGTGTGGGTTGCTCATGGACATAGGCTTGCCACTAGAGGCACCGGGTTTGAAACCCGTGGACCGGGCATGCCTAGCCCCAGGGACGAAGAAAGCCCCTTGATGATAAGGAGACTGGAGTTCTAACCATTTACACTAATGCTATTTACAATATATACACTACAACTATACTTAAGACAAACTATGAAACAGTGTAAGAAACCACTGAGAAGAATGCCTTGCCGAAGCAAGAGTTGTTCCAGCAACTGTCTCAGGCCGTAAGAAGGAACTGACGAGGGTGCGGTGTTGGTGGCGCCCATATACCGGTGCATAAGCCCGCGGGTCCAGAGAGCGCTAGAGCTGGCCCGACGGATACCACTGAGGTAAAAATCTCCGGCAATGGTGCACACGGCGTACACACATCTAACATGGAATGGACATGAGCAAGCACTCGAAGAAGAACTAATGGATTTTGAGTCATTGAAAAACTGGACTCAAACACTGATTAAAACAAGCATGGCTAATATCTACTAATAGCCTCTCCAAGGCAGGGGAGAAATTAGGGGAAGGAGAAGGGCAGTGGTACTCTTCCAAGGTCTGCCCATGTGAGTTGCCATTCAGCCTGTTGTGCAGATGCTCAAAATATGGTTGCATTCTGACATCAATTCCTTAGCGCCTTGGACTGATGTCCCCCTCAGTGGGTCTCAGATTCCCAACTGGGCTCTACCAGGCTCCTTCTTGTGTGAAGGAAAGTGCTGCCCTCTCCTAAGCAACACTCACTTGTGGCACCAAAAGGAGAAGTCACTCACTGTGAATGGTGCAGACATAGGTATGCTCCCTCTCCTTTCTTACATGAGGAATTAAATTGTTAACAATGACATTTAAAATCACCACCGGGCATCTCAGAGCTATTGTTCAAGGCTTACTGCAAACTCTTGTAGCTATCACAATCAGTTCACATTTGAGGTTTTCTTTGCCACCCTAAACAGACTTTTTAAAATGAAAATTAAGATTCCGCAGAAGACGACTGCAGCTTGAGCGAGGTCCCAGCATATTATATCAGCCTGATCCAAGTCCTGCCCCCAGGCATATAATTATGTCACATTGTAAACTTTAAAAACTAGTAACATACTACGTTGTATAATACCAGATACTGCAAACAGTGAAATGGTATAATGCTGCACATCCAGGGTATGTAATTCTTGAGGGAATTCTGCACCACGATGCCCGCACAGAATACATATGTCCCACAGATTTTTTTTTTTTTCTCTGCAGACAATAGATTCTGATGGAGAGGCTCTGCAGTTATGCCTGTTGCCCACCAGGGGCTGCTGTGGCACCAGAACAGAGGCAGCCAACTGACTGCTCACCTGCCTAGTGGTCAGCAGCTGACAGGGAGCAGGGCCGGCTCCAGGCACCAGCCCACCAAGCTGGTGCTTGGGGCGGCACCTGAAGGGGGGCAGCGCGGCGCTCCGGCCCCCGGGGAGAGTGGGGCCACGGCCGGGCTCGCCGCCCTCCTCCCCGGCGCCCTCCCCCCGGGGCTCCGGCCGCCCCCCCCCCCG